CGTCGAATATTCTGGGCGGCAGTGTCACGTCTTGTGCCCACAGCACTTCCATTCTATCCGCAGCCAGCAACCAGGTGTCTGAGGAGAGTGTGACAAGAAAATGCATTAGGCATGCCCGAAGCACAGTGCATCAATGTGGATGATGCGGCACTTGGTGTCGTAAGATTTTAGTGGCACTCAGTCAGCCTGGCGGCTGCGTAGAATCCATTTGACGACGGTCTCCATGGCTTTTGCGGATCACGCCACTGCACCAGTCCTCGCAGTCACGAAACCTCCAAGTGTCAGACAAGCTTGAACCTTGAGGATGGTCAGGTAGTTTATTGGAGTGCTGCTATCGGCTCGGCTTCGCTTTGGTTGAATTGCATCGCCAGACGAAAGTCAGGTTGATGGAGGAAGTACTTGAGCGTCCAATTTGACCCTGCGTGTTTAGCAAGGCACGTAGTCTCTGTCAGTGTGCTCGTTGCATCTAAGAAGCAGTGAAGGACGTGGAAACGAACGCGGCGCAAGAAGAGGAAATAGCCACAACAACGTCGGGCATGCAGGCCATGTGCAGCATCGTTTTACCAGTGCTCCCGGGTCTTCTGGTGTTCTGTCTCTTCGAAGGAGCTGCAGTCAAACGAGGCAAAGCCGCCCTTGGCAGCGCCCCCACCGGCAAAGGCCACTGTGCATCTCCTCTGACCAGCATGGCAAGCCAAGCAGGTAGAACTGCCACAACCTTCCAGGCCCACACAGAGCTTAACATCCGAAACTTTAAGAATGTGTCCTTGCACTGCTTTTGAGCTTCAGAGAAGAACATGCATCAGGCCCAGCCGCAGCTGGCACACTTGGCGGCAGAGGATGGGCGGATGGGTATGGCTCTGAACTGCACAGGTTTCAGTTTCCGAATCCAGGCCGGCGCAAAGCTCGAATCGGAGTTGCAAGCCGACTTCAACCACGCTCACGAGGTGCGCCGAGTGCGTCCGGGTGCGCTAAGTCCCCGCTCGTGCCGAAGCTTCCTTTCTATAGGCAAGCGGCAAGTACAGGGCTGCTCAGACCGAGATCGCAAAGGCTTCGGCTGGGGAGGGCTGTGCAACTGCAGATTTGGCCACATCAGTTGCACAAGGAACTGAAAGCTCTCAGCAATGGCACCCAGAACTTGCAGGCAGGCACTGTAGCTGTGCAATCTACCACACGCTGGAACACGTACGCGTCTTATCATTGTATCGTCGCTCTCTCCCTCTCTCATATCTCTTTAGAATCTCTTTCGAGCTTGCTGCACCTGGTTCTCTGTAGTTGCCGATTCTCAGCATGCCCGCTGCCATGTTAGCTAGCCATTTGCAGCATTTATCCCGGTGTCAGAAGCTCAACCCAGGCTTGAACAGTCTTGCAGCGATATCAAAACAATCACGTCTGTCCTCCGCGCAAAATGGCTTGGAGTGGTGGCCTGCATGGGGAAGGCGCTCAGAGGATTAGACTTGGAGAGAATGCACCCTGGAACATTGTAGACGCGCATGGCAGATGCATTGCGAGTGTTTCATGACAGCATGTTGGCTACGAGAGCCCCAGAGGTAGAGCATAGCAGCCAGAGCAATGGGGACGATAGGATCACTTTTTCTGTTCCTCCACATCCTGTATGGAAAAGGCCTGGCGCAGGCCGTTGTGGAACTTGCAGCTGTGAAAGAGAAAGAGACCCATGAGCCCCGTATCATCCTCCGCTACGAGTCGGGTTCAGCAATATCCTTGCATGAACGTCATGACCTCAGCTTGCAGGCTGCATGTGCTGTTTTCCACAGCAGCTCGGCCTAGGCGCATAGACCTCATAAGCCTTCCTTGCTGAGGTGTCAAGCATCTCGAGCATCTCTCGGGGGTTCGACGAGCGGAAGTGCTACCGAGCCTAGACATGGCGGTCGTCGCATGTGAGGCAGAGTCACAGGAGGATGATATGCTGGAGATTCTCCAGGCACAGGATGGTGTTGAAGTTGCAGTACCAGATACTTGGCTCCAGTTGGACGAGGAGCATGTCGAGAAGCGGCCGGAGCGTCTCTGTTCTGCGAATCCTCAATGTAGCGCAATTGGGCTCCGTGGCTTGTGCTGCCCAACTCCTGATGGACTGCACCTGGGGTGCTGTGACGACAATCGTGGTGCTGCCCCCTTGCCTAGACATCGTGAGCACGGCCTTAGCACAATTTCATTGCAGAGCTGGCACGGTGGCTTTATGGCCGGGATGGCCTGGGGTGCGGTCGGATTCTACCCCAATAAGCTTCACCCGGACACGCATTTCTTCGTGGTTGCACATGATGACGGTTACAATTCTTTGAAGACCCAGTACGGAACTTATGTGGTTGCAACACCGTCTGGTAGACTGGCATTGTGGCACCGCGGACATCCGGAGGCAGACGACTTCGAGAAGTTCAAGTTCATCTACAACAAGGATGGCACACTTACGCTGCGAAGCAAGATTTCGGACATGTATGTTGCAGCAGAAGACCCCTTGTGGGGAGTGCTCTCAGCCGACAGAGATGAGATTGATGATTGGGAAAAGTTCAACGTTACTTTCACACACGGCAAGGACACCGTTATTCCGAATGATGCCTCCCTGGACAGGCTTTGGGGACTGCATCATTACGGTGACCGGGACATTGATGCTGCAGAGGCTTGGAGAATCGCTCATGCACCTTCCCCAGAGGGGATTGTGGTTGCAGTGATTGACACCGGGATCGACTACACGCATCCGGACCTCAAGGATCAAATGTGGGTCAATCCAAACGAAATCCCTGACAATGGCATCGATGATGATGGCAATGGGATCGTGGACGACATTCACGGGGCCGATTTCGCCAACAATGATGGAGATCCTATGGATGATCAAATGCATGGAACACACTGCGCAGGAACCATTGCAGGCTTGCTTACTCGCTGTTTGCTCACTGTTCGCTCACTGTTCGCTCGCCGCTCGCTCACTGGTCGTGTGCTGCTCGCTGCTCGCAAAGCTTGCCCTCTTTGCATCGCTTTGTGCCTTTGTGCAAAGTCCGATCATGTTCGTGAGACGAGGAAACAGGCAGGCATGCGTCACTTTCACACGTTTCGATGCTCGCGATGTGTCGTTCTGATGCAGTCCCTCAAGTCGTTGTGATCAATCTGTTGAGGCAACGGCAACAACTCCATTGGAGTGGCAGGGGTGGCTTGGCAAGGAGTTCGGCTCATGGCCATGAAGTTTTTGTCTGCTTCTGGTGGTGGACGTACCTCCGATGCCATCAAATGCCTGAACTATGCTGTGGCCATGGGCGCGAAGCTCTCTAGCAACTCTTGGGGAGGCGGCGGATCTTCTTCGGCCATGCGCGCCTACCACTCAGTTTTGTCTTAGCTGGAGTGTGACTCGAGCCGGCATGCTTGCTTCCTCCTCTGGGTGTTCCGTGCAGTTCAGGTGGCAATTGAGCGCGCAGAGCAAGCCGGAATGCTGTTCATTGCCGCCGCCGGCAATGAAGGGTCCGACAATGATGAATTTCCTCATTATCCCTCCAACTATCCCACGGCAAACATTGTGTCCGTAGCATCCACAACAAAGACTGGGTCATTGTCTTCTTTTTCGTGCTACGGGAAGACCACGGTGGACGTGGCAGCTCCTGGCAGCAGCATCTACTCGACGGTTCCGAACAACAAATATGCTTCCCTGAGTGGAACATCTATGGCCACGCCACATGTCAGTGGGCTAGCAGCACTGATTTGGCTGCATCGTCCCCAACTTACGATGCCCCAGGTGAAGCGCATCCTAATGGAGTCTGCGACCAAGGTGGACGCACTTCAGAACAGCAGCCTCACGGAGGGGCGCATCAATGCGCGACGTGCTCTGATCTTGGCTGCATCATATGACGCGCTCTATCCGCCGGTGAACCAACCTCAAAGTCTAGTCTTCACGGATACCGACCCAGAAGTTGGACGAATAGGCGGAGTTGCTCACATCACTGCAGCCGCGGATGAAAGCGACGTTGCCTACTACAGTCTGCACTTCATGTCTGTCGCTGGGTTTCTGATGGAGCGAGTTGGCAGAGTGAATGCATCGGGGGCAGCCTCCCTGCAAATCACACTTCAGAACGTGACCATCCCGAAGTATGTCACGAGCTTGGCCGTAGTTGCAGCCAACAAGAGTGCAACTGCCGGACCCTCAAAAGCAGCGGTCGTTGACATCAAAGACTACGGGGTTCCCAAGTACGGACCCGGAGAAGTTTCTTGGGGTGGTGATGTGGACGGGCGGTTGGGGTACATCGCGGGACAAGTTCAGTTCCGGCGAGCAAAAGCGGAAAGCAGCATCACGCACTACAATCTATACTGGAAGGATGAAGCCCGATCCTTTCTGGGAAAGGTGCCTGCGTCTGGTTTCGCGACTCCTTCTTGCGAGGGAGACTGCTCGATGGTGAACACCAACATTACTGGAGATATCTACACGTTCCATCGAGGAGCTTACACGAACAATGAGATGGCGGCCATCACTTTCAGTGGTCCTGCCACAGTATGGCTGACCAGCTTCCGGACGGAAAAGTATTACGACTACCTCGAGATCGGTGGCCAGCAGTTGTCAGGAACACGGCTAGTACTTCCCATGCGATTTGACCTGGAGAGTGGTCCACAGAGGATCACGTGGTCCAGTGATCGCTCCGAGGTCGAGGAAGGCTGGACGCTGGATTTGTTGCAGACGGGCTCAGTGGCCAGCTATGCTTTGCAGCCTTTGGCGCCACCAAGTTGGAATGTGGAGGTGGTCTCCGCCTATGCCGACACGGAGGGCCAAAACGCCTCTCAGGGTCGGCTTTCCGACTTCGATGCGTCCACGATGCCACCTTCTGCAGCTTTGAGGCCACGTCAGTTGAGCTTCGTTGACGTCGATGTGAAACAGGGCATCATCGAGGGACACATCCAGTTCTTGCCGCCGCCGAGCTGCGAGGACACGATCACCTTCTACAAAGTCTTTGTTGCAGATGCCCAGGGCGAGGCAATCGATGGATTTCAGTGGACATTGGCAGGGACACAGAACTGCTCTGCCTTGATGCAGGTGACTGTTGAACGCACACAAGTTCCGCCTGATGCCGTGCAGATTATGGTCATAACGGGGAACCAGAACGGCGAGGGTCCGTCTCAATCAGTGCCGCTGGTGGACATTGTCAGGAGTGCTCCGGTCAATGCTACCTTCACAGGAGACTCAGATCCTGCCCGGAATCAGGTCAAGGGCGGCATCAGAATCACGCCTGCAGCAAACCCGACGGGAATACGTTCATATGCAATCTACTTCGTCAACGGCACTTCAAAGGAGAAGCTTTTGGGGCGTGTGGCGGCCGCGCTGGATGAGGTCGTCGTTTACGAATTCCACATCATTGTCAAGACTTCGCTGCGTGACTTGCTTATTGTAAGCGTCTATGAAGACATGGAGATGGATGAGGGCATCTTCCTTCACTTCGAGGACGTGTATGATGACCCGGACGAGGCAGAGGACGACGGACGAAGGCTGGCTGCTGAGACGTCAGATTTGGAGCCGTGGTTGCGCAGACCACACCCACCAGCCTGGAATGAAGTCCAGCTGCTGTGGACAGAGCCTAGTGTCGGGGAATTGCAGACGAAGAAGTCCGCCATTGAAGTCCGAAACGACAAGAGGGTCATGGGATCGCTAACCATACCAGGCATCCTGGGCAGTGTGAGCACGTCAGGCACACGGCCGACGTTTGTACCACCAAGTCTCGAAGCGAGGAAAGCACTTGTCTCGGTGCTGGCAGAGAGTTTGCCAGCAGTGTCCCAGGAGCAGGTGCGGCTTACAAAGGGCCAGATGCTTACATGCCAGGCCGCTGTACGGTCGAAGCAGCTGAAATTTCGAGCACCGCCAGACTCCTTGGGCGGCGCGTGCCTGGTGATCAACTTCGAGGTGTTGCCTGACGCCAGTTTGGCTCTTCATGCCAAGCATTCGCAGGATTTCCTTGACATGGTCGAGGCCAGACTGATCGCCTTGCACCGTGGGAGCTCAGCTGCGCAGAAGATGACTGATCTACTCAGAAGACGCTTGCAGGGAGTGATTTCGGCCGCAGATGGAGTTTGGGCGGTGGTGGGTGAACCACAGCAGATTGCACCAAAGGTGCATGCTGACTCCAGGTCATTGACAAGCATCGGCCTCGGTGAAGAATGGGAGGATGAGCCCGAGCTTCCTGAGGAAGCCAGTCCACTGATGCTTATTGGAGCATTGCTCGGTGGAATCACCGCGGCTAGCTGTGCAGCACTACGCTTGGTGAAGTACCGGAAAAGTTTGGTCAAAGAGCCCATGGCCATGGCCGTGACGCCCCAAGTGGATCCGGTGCAGCCGGTCTCCGACCACTCCGACTCGCTTGATGTCAGCCTACAGCTCGGCGAACGAAACGAGTGAAGCGACAAAAGCCAAATCCATACCATGTACATGACTTTTACTGCTCATCTCACCTGAAGGTGGGCTGTGGATCGAGTTGCGCACGAGATGTGCGCAGCGTCAAACTCCACGACGAATTCAAACTCATTGATACAGAGTCCATTTCGCACAAATTGGCGAGAGTGATTGACTTCAGTTTTTGTTGTGCCAAGAACATGCAATATTTTGTTCGGCTACCCGCTGCCTGCACGTGCTCTGGGACAGACGTGGACTCTCTAAGATCTCCACGAATCTGTCCTAGGCTTGGTACACCTGGTACGCAATAGGCTCAGAGGTCCGTATAAAGCGAGCCCCTCTGACATTGACCTTTGAAAGTGCAGTACTGAACAGCTCGAGGGAAATCGACAACAGTGTTTTGTGCACGCAATGCCGTTCACACGTGCAGGCGGTTGATTCATGTCCAACCAAGACCAAGAAAGCTCCTGACAGGCGGTCTGGCAGGATTTCACCATCTTCGAGAAAGGTGTTCAGGTGAGAGACGGACATGTGAAGGTTGGCATGCCCACCTTGGACATACAGCGCGTCAGGTGTTATAGATATGCTTGTCTTATAAGTAGAGCCGCCATACTGATATCGTCTTCTGGGTTTAGACATGTTTAGACTTGGTGCAGTTGGTGACAGAGCGGGAGACGATTTCCCATCGTGGGTTCGGAACATGCATAAACGGTTATGGTTGAGGATGTAGTTGTCCGTGCGCTTCAATGCAAGGTGTGGCTGCCTCATTTCGCGCTGCTGTAGCGCTGAGTAGATGAATCAACTAGGTCATGCAGTAGTCGTGAGCTTTTCTCGCTCTAAGTCGGCACGTTCTGCCACACAGCTCTCGGGCGTTGCCAGAAACAGAAGCTGCCTCATCACTACTGTGCTTTGCCGGATGTCGAGCGGGTTCGACGTCTGCACTGAATCTCATCGCATTCGCTCTGCGAGTGCACAAAATGGAAGACGGAACTGCTGGCGGGCTCTCTTGAATCTGGTGTATTTGTCAAGGCTCAGATCCCTGCAGAACATGCTCCTCTCTTGACGAAGATCGAGAAGGTGGCCTGTAATATGTGCGAAATTCTAGCTGAGCAGATCCAGAACAGCTCTTCAAGTCTGATTTAACAGAGGTGCTGCAGCCGACAGCAACCACAGTTCAGGACTCCGGGTGCGCAGAATTACCTGGTTCCCTTTCATGTCTGAATACCACGTTCTCCTGCAGGCATGTTACAACGACTCTGTACGACTTTGTGCTATGAGTCTGCTGCGTCCACCTGAGTGTTTTGAAGTGACTGGGGCTAGAGGAGATGATCGCAGGTGTTGATTTCATCAGGGTTTGGTTGGGAGCACGTCTGCCTAGACGGCCTTTTGCAAGTCTGCAGCACGAAAGACTGCATGTCGTGTCCGTTTGCAGTTTCGTTTCCGTCTGCAGACTGCAGGACGACCGCACAACCACACTGCCTCCGGAGGCGAGTTCGTGTTTCAGGGTGTGGTTGTGCCGGGTTTGCCAGGTTCCGACGAGGATGCGTGCATCGGTTTCATGTCGAATGGAAAGAGTTT